GCAGAGGTCAGCGGGGAAATGTAGAGGTCAGTATGTATGCAGTGCAGAGGTCAGCGGTCAGTATGTATCCAGTGCAGAGGCTAGCGGGGGAATGTAGAGGTCAGAGGTCACGTAGAAAGAACAGGTACTTACAGTGGTACTTTTCCTTACTTCTTCAGGTGCTGTGCCCTCTTCTCCTTCTCTCCTGGTGGTGGGGGGAGGGGGGCAGTGAAGTTGCCTGCATGTCTTCAGCCGCATCGTGGTGTCTCCTGCCTTTTGGTCCCGCACAGCATAACTATGCTGCCAGCCAATCGTGTGCAGTCTCCCTCCCAGCCTATAGCAGCTGAATGGGGAGGGAGCTGCTGCCGTACGTGGCCGCCGAGGAGCCCGATCGGTACACGGGCATCAAAGAATTCTTCTCCTCCTGTAAAAACGGCCCCCGCCGGAGCCGGCGCAGCGGCAATCACTTCTTGTATCTCTCCACTTTCGGCCGCTGCAGCAGAATGGCCGAGAGGGGAGAGAAAAAAAAAGAGTGATTACCGCTGCGGCGGCGTGGGCCGTTTCTAAAGGCATCAGAGAGGCCCGGAGGGCAATTGCCACCCTGCCCCCCGGCCCAGTCCGCCCCTGGGTGCAAGGCATTCTGGTTTTCTACAAGGTGCAGATAAACATCACGATCTTCTCTTGTCCACTCACATAACGCCTTGCATTCCTTGAAAAGAATGAAAGATGTTTTTTTTTCTTCTCTGGAAAACACATTAAATGGTATATTTAACAGACCAAAAGGAAGCAAATAAGAGTTAATTGCTAGGGTTTACATTCACTTTAAACCATAAGACCCAAACTGAGAAGGCAGAACAAATGGCTCTATTGATATGTCACATGCTCTTATGATCACTTTGCAGCCAATTGTTAACTCTTCTTCCAAGTGTATAGCTATATGCTGAGTGGAAGCGTTATAAATCAGTTCCATATTGTCTGGCTCTATAAATTAGTACAATGCAGGCTCCTGTATGGTTATTTCTGCAATTCACTGTAAGCCAACATCAAGTTACATCATAGTAGTCTGCTAAGCACAGTGATGCTGATTTACTAAGGGAGTTGGGAAGCTTTACCTAACCACTTCAAGTGACACTTAACTCAGGCATTAAATGTTAAAAATACATTTGAAGTACCCCAGCTATGAACAAAAATGTACTTTATATGTGTATCACTCAGCTGTCAATCCTCAAATCATTTCTGAATGGATCTTGACACTGTCTTTCCTTCTGGAGAGTGGATACTTTTGTTCCCCATGGTCCCTATGTGTGTTGTAAAGTAGTCACCACTCCAAGCTTGCCCCATGATAGACTATAATTTCACATTTAGTTTACTAATTTGAATTGAGATTATAGTTTATCAGTAGGCTTGAAGCAGTGGCTACTTAACACTGGTCAAAAGCCCCCCTGCATATTTTCATCTTTAATGCCTTTGCCTAGAGTCCATAGAAAATATTTTCTTCAAAACAAAAGTGCGAAAAGAGTCCAGTTCCAAAAAAAAAAAAAGTATGTATAACTTTGATGACCGCTACCACAAAAAAAAAAAGGCCCATAGTGGAAATGTTCAAAATGGCTCTGACCAATAAGGTGTATGCAGGTACAAGAGCTAAAGTGGTACAGTATAACTGAAGACATTTTTTTTCTTTTAGATAGAGTAACACAGGATTGAAACCACGGTCTGTTTTTTAGGTTGGTCTATGTCCCTGTAACTTAAAGTGAGACTATTAATATGTATTCACCACCCCTCCTCCAATCAGAGACTACCTACTATACATTGACAAATGTACTAGGGGTTCTCTGAATGGCCACTATACTCAGCGACTCGCTGTGCTTTAACATAGTTATTAAAGTTGTAGTTCCGCTTTAAACTGTCCTGATCACCAGTGTCACCGGGAAATGAAAGTGGGGTTAAATCTACATGTCCAAGTTGGTAACAAAACAGAAATAGGTTAAATCCAAATGTCTGACACCAGAACAAGAATAGAGGGAGAAATCTAAAGCTGGCCATACACCTATAGATTATCTGCAGATATTCTATGGTCAGATGGGATAAAGTGCAACAGATTCTTTCATCTAGGTTAAACTGGGTGGATGGAGGAATCTCCCACTGGGCCAAGCTTCAGTATCTTGCTAGTCGGCCCCGCTGACTGTCAAAATACCTGAACAATCTGATTGGATGCAGGCATTGCTCAGGTATTTTGAGAGCCAGCAGGGGCGACTAGCAAGATACTGAAACTTTGCCCAGTGGGAGATGCCTCCATCCACATAGTTCAGCATAGATGGAGGAATCTGTTGCACTTTTTCCATCTGACAGTAAGCCGAAAAATAAAATCTATAGGTGAAAGGCCAGATTTTAGAAGGCATATCCCTCACATTGGAAAGAGATCCTCTCACCTCCAGTGGTGTCTACAGGACAGGAAGGAAAATCTCCATAAAAAGGAGGGGGGACCCCTACAGCAGCAGGTACAGTGAGGAAAATAATTTGATCCCCTGCAGATTTAGTAAGTTTGCCCACTTAAGAAATTAAAGGTCTATAGTTTTTTATCATGTGTATTTTCAATGATAGGGACAGAATGTCAACCAAAAATGCAGGAAAAAAAAAATACCCCAACATACACACAATTCAAATGTTATAAATTGAGTTGCAGTTCAGCGAGTAAAATAAGTATTTGATCCCCCACCAACCAACAATAATT